GTCATTTCGCCTCAGTGACTCGTTTATTTTGGAGACGATCCTCTCCCTCCAGGAATCCTCGGGTTTGAATTCTGGGAAGAAGTAACACACATAGCGCCTCACCACTTGCTTTCTCGCTGGATCCAGTTCTTTTTTGGAGAGTTTTCCACCACCGTACCAGTTGCACTCCATTCGCAGGTTGCCCTCACCGTACAGTTCGGGGAAAATCTTCCTTGTGAGATTAACTGCGAAATTTCCTGCGTTCCTTGATTCCTTAATCATGTCTCTGAGGACGGTATCTGGAAGTTGATATTCTTCGGGAACACCTTGGTACACATCTCCAGGACTACTGTCACTCATCGTATCAGCAATAGGATCACTGGTTTGCAGGAACTCCACTCCACTTGCAGCTGGGATTTTCCTGACCACATCGATAAGAATGTTTGTATTAGCAAGCACTGTCTTTAATTGTAAATCTGACGCTGTTCCCCTCCTATTCGACGCATCAAGTTTTTTGTTGATAACATCCAGAGTCTGTCGCATTTCCTTGACTTCTCTCATTAGCGCCTTCACCAAATCGTCGTCATTTGTCGAAGTCCGGTAAGGGCGGAAACGCACAACTGGGGTTGTTGACGCTGGCGTTGGGATTGGAGTGAGTGACTCTAACTGGGCTGGCTCTGAATTCTGTGTTTCAGGTGCAGGTCTTTGTCGGACAGGTGTCTTGGGGATAGATGTAGCTGAATCTTCGGCTGGCGGCGAGCCATCTGCGATGAGCGAAGCCTTCGGCTTTCCAGATCTTGTCTGAAATGAAAAGAAAAATTTTAAAACAATGAAAAAAAAAATTAATACAGTTTCTATATTAATGTTTGCTTTTCTGTATTTATATTGACCATGCAGTGCTTAACTATTTATTTCGAGACTTGTTATAGCAAATTCTTGTTTTCTGTCCCCCCCCCCCCCTCTTGCGCGCTCGAAGACTTTTTTTCATTTTAACAAAAAGCTGTCTGAACTCCGAGTAAAATATACAGTAAACAGGTAAACTTTGAAAGTTAATCTCTTTCCGCTTGAACGCACACAATACAAAGGTTTTAAACATGGTGTTTGAACTCAATTATATTGGTGTAATTTTTACCTGTGTTTCTTTTTTTAAACGTTTTGAATAACTTGACGACTGGACATATCTTAAAATCTAAAAACACCTAAAAATAATTTAACTTTAATACCATGAAACAGCTTAAACATTGTTTAATTGACCTTAACTCAAAAATCATTTCCTGGATCCGCCACATTGACTGTATATAATTTCAGTTTATTCAAACCAATTAGCCCTGGCTCCCAATAATCTCGGTAATAGCCGTACATGTAGAATGTGTATATTATTTTTCTGTGTAATAACTCAACCATGCGTTACGGCTACAGTACCTTGAGGTTGATTAGTCCTAGATCGTCTCATAATTGATTCAAAATTTTAATTACTGACTGATTCAATTTTTATAAAATTGTGTTTAGGATGCAGTTTATTTTAATAATAATAATCTAAAAGAAACACACACAATTAAGGATTCATAAGACAAAAAAATTAGATATGCGACTATATTTCGTTTTCTATGTAATTATATACAAAACTGTGCATGTATTTTTAACATTGTGTCAAAATCTTACAAATTTCTGCCACTTTACCTAGCGAACATTATTCAGGTTACCCTTTTTAATAGAATTCTATGAGAAATATTTCTGGTTTCGGAAAAAAATTGTTTGTGTTATTTATTCTTAACATGGATATTTGATCCATGGTACATGTACATGTAAGACAGTTGATAGATACCCGTACACATTACGTAATTTTACGTAATTTTAATCAGTTGGGTGACAGTTGTACAGAAACATTTTAGTTTTAACGTTTACGTGTAAGCAATGGGTCGTACCTACCAGACTAGCCGTTGTCTTCCTGCGTTTTGGAGAAGGGGCTGACGAAGGTGATCTGGGTGGGGTTTGGGATCGTGGAGATGTTGGTGAGCTGGGTTGGGATGGCAGTCTTGGTGGGGAAGTTGATCTGGATGGGGGGGGGGGGGGTGAGGATGCTGCAACTGGGTTTGGTAGAGGTACCAACAAATCCTTAATTTTCTCCCGCATCTGCTGTTCAGTCCCAGAAAACAACACAACAGCCCTATCCACTTCTTTTGGTTTACCCCACTGTACATCATACTCAAGTCCAACACTAATTGTAGAGTCTCCATCACACTTGAAGGACACACGATTTCTCACTTGCAGTTCATCGTCACACAAATACCGCACAATAAAATGAGTGTCCAAACGCTTAAGTCGCCTAGCCATGATCCACAGTTTATAGTCAAAAACACAGAAATAAGTCCTCTCAGTTCAATCACTTGTGTAAGACTGATGAATGTTCAGTGTAGTATCAGAAAAATTGTCGGTTTCTATAGATTTCTTTTAACATTTTAATTATGAGTCTAATGTTAACACGCTACGCATTATAATACATTTCTGATGGCCTACTACGGAAATGAAATTGAACTTAATTGATAGTAATTAGTCACACTAGATCGGTCTTTATTGAACATGTTGAACAGAGTTGAACGATCAATCGAACGATGTTTATACAGTAATTTTATATCTCCGAAAGTCAGTAAGAAAATTAATCAACTTTAATTATTATTTCATTTTTTTTCTAGCTGTGTTTTATTTTCTCTTTTCTTTTCTTTGTAATCTAATCGGTGTCTATAGAGTATTTTCATAAGCTTTCCAATATAAAAAAAAAATAATTTCCAGTAGACAAAAAAAAACTTGAAAGTGTACATCACACATGCTCGGTACCATTTTTACATAATACTTCCTGTCTCATAATACATTCATGAATTTTTGTAATAATCGAAATGACTATCTGTCGATTGAATATTTTGATATTATTCATATAGAAAAAGCAATTCTCTCGCTCTCTCTCTCTCTCTCTGAATATTTATTTCCGTAAGTTTTTATAACATTGATATTGACACCATAGTAGTATGACATTAATGAATGTATATGTTTAAATTATATATATTATATATATATATCGACAGAATATCGCTATCAAACCTTTGTTGAAATTTTGATAAGCAGGTATATTAAAATATTTATTAAATATATTTTTATATGTATTTTTAAATAAATATTATACTCAGTTTCATAAATGTATATTTTAATAACGTAAAGTAAAATTATGATATCTTCTTCACGAAAAAAAAAAAAATATTCATACAAGTATTCTTTCTTTAATAGAGACATAATTTTATTGATTTTTTAACGCTGATAATTTTTCCAGAATTTTCCATTGGGGGAGATAACTCGCGTTTGTTTACAGTACTATCCTCGCTCAGAAATCTAGACTTTGCACCGCGACGGGGAATTAATCTAACCGCGGGGATGAGCGGTGTTACCTGATTTACCTGGCCAAACCGCGATGAGATCAACACCGCCGCGACGCGCGTTAAATGACCAAACCGCGTTGCCCGTACTGTAAGTCTGTCTGTCTGTAGACGAGATTTTGTCCGGACCATTTCTTGGAAACTGTTGCAAGGATTTGTCTGAAAATTTGTACACTCATTATTCACCATATGAAGGTGTGCACCTGGTATTTTCGTCATGATTGGATAATTTTTTTGCATTTTACAGGTGTTTTTTTTTTTTCATTTTTATTATGTGGTTTTGTCCGGATCTGTTCCCAGAGACTATCACATAGATTTGTATGAAAATTTGTACACTTATTATTTGCCATATGAAGATGTGCACCTGGCATTTTCAACATTATTTGATAATTTTTCTACATTTTACAGGTGTTTTTTTTTTCATTTTTATTGACTTAGTCATTTTGGGTTTATGTCTAAGGTTTGAGACATAGAATCTAGAACATCTGTACAAAAATGTGAACTACAGCTTAAAATTACTCTTTAGAACTAAAAAAAAAAATCACAAAGTATTAAAAACAGTTTTTACATTACACAGCAGATAGTGTAAATCCATTTGTCCCTTGGGATTAATGAGTGGACATGCATCCAGTTAAAGATTAATTAATGAGTTCAGTGTGGGAAGCTGTTAGGGCATCTCTGATCAAGCAGGTCTTATCTATATCTCCTGGGAATTGGGCAGAAAGAAATAAAGATCCCTGTTGTCTAAGTCTCTTAATTAAAATTTATGTCTGTCAAAATACATAGTGACTGGAACCAGCCTTTTACTTTTAAAAAGAGTTTGATAAAAAGGTATTAAGATCAATTTGATTTTGTATAATTAATTATGATTTTTTTTTTTTCAACAATCAATTTGCAGAGTGTCATGTCTCACAAAGATGACAGATAGTTGCAAACTATTTTTTCAGTTTAATAAAAAAACACTGTAATTATTAGTATTGATGTTTTATTAGGCTGCACCTTAGTTTCATTCATTAAAAAAATATAATTTTTAATTAAATTTTCACTCTAAATGTTAAGCAAATTGTGAACACCTCTCACATCTAGAAAACATTAGTGATTTGGTACCTTCTCTGAAAAACCCAGCGGGGGGTATTTGTCCCTTTTGGACAGTTTTAGTTTCTTTTGTAAAACAGGCCCTTGGACTCTTTACACATTGGTCTCACAAGCTGTTTTGTGTTCCTATCCTCCAAGGTCTTCTATAACTGTCTTGTTTGGGTACTATCCCTTTCAGTTGGGAACTTCACATGAATTACCTCAGTAACTTAGCATTACAAAAGAAATGCATTTAAAAGTAAGGGAAGTCATTGAAAAAAAGAAGAAAACTAACAAAGTACTCAGTTTAAACCAATTAAAATAATTAAAGGAACACACTTAAATGGGAAATAAATCAGAAATTTTGGAAATTAAATTGAGACCAAGTCCTTTTACAGGATACATGTTGAGGATATTAATCCCTAGTCTGTTAATTTCATGTTTCCTGAGTCCTGTACACTTAGAATCATTCAATATTGGAAAAGGAATCATCTGACTATTTGATTTTCTACTTTTTTTCAGTGACAGAGTCTCCATCCTACAAAGCTAAGTTTGAGGTGGTTTATGATTTAGTGGATCTTCCTGCTTCCTCATGTTTGCAAGGCTTTGACAATTCACTGGCTGTATATAACACAACTATTGCACAAAAAGTGGATGACAGATGTAAAGACTTGAAACCAGGAAAGTTTATGATAAACAGTTTCATATCAACAACAAAAGCATTTCAGGTATTTTTTAGTTCGAAAAAATTATGATTAGATGTTCCATCCAATCCTATGATATGTTGAATTGTTTTGAGTTGTTTCTTATTATGTTCCTAAAATGTAGTATTGGAACATTTTTTGTTCCCCGCTTTCGTGAAAGCGAGGGACATTAAATCTCATTCATCTGTCCGTCTTTCAGTCTGTCACAAAAACTTTAACCTTGGTCATAACTTTTAAATGAGAAGAGATCAGGCTTTCATATTTCACATGTACATTACTTGTGACAAGACCTTTCCAAATATACTATGATTTTTTACCCTTGAAGTTTGACCTATTTTTCATTAAATTGGTCATAACTTTTGAATAAGAAAAGATAGGGCTTTCATATTATACATTATATTACTGTGACAAGACCTTTCCAAATATACCTTGATTTTTGACCCCATGACCTTGAAGTTTGGCCTACTTTCAAAAATTTTATCTTTGCTTATATCTTTTGATTGAGAATAGATATGGCTTTCATATTTGACATGTGCATTACCTGTGACAAGACCTTTCCGATTGTATACTTTGGTTTTTGATATTTTTTTTCACATGTGTATTACTTGTGACAAGACCTTTTGGATATTATTATGATATTTGACCTCATGACCTTTATCTTGAAATTTGATGTATGTTTGAGAAGCTATAATCTTTGCCATAACTGTTAATAATTCAGTAATTTATGTCTCTTTTGTATAACGCACAGACAAGACAGGACACACAAACAAGACAGTTACAATATGCCATAAATAATGGCATCCCATTTACTAAGTTTCTTATTATAAAAATTTATAGAGTTGAACTTCGGTATCTCAAACACCGATATCTCAAATACCATGGATATGTCAAGGATTTGGAATTCCATCCACATATTCTTTATTAAGTATTTTACCCTCGATATCTCAAATCCTTGAATATTTAGAAGTTTTTTCTAGGTCCCGTTGAGTTTGATATTGTTTGTCTGTATATGTACACTTGTTTCATACATGTTAACCTACAGTGACAAAATAGAGGGAGATTCAGATCTCAAAAGCAATGGCATTGGGATTGGTGTTTTACGCTTCACATACATGTTATGTGTACCAGCAGTGCGCAAAATGTACCATTTTTTGAGCCCATTCATCGTGTACTGGCGGGACACCAAAATTCACGGAATATGAAAATTTGTACAGTATTTTGCTTTTCTCGCTAAATGCTGCCATTTTTCTCTCATTCTTGCTCGCGAGACACTGGAAAACATCACCTGTGTTTGACACTTGACCTTCTGATAATTGTGTGTACACAAACCATCACATGTGAAGGTGTGAACTGCCAATTGGGATAATTATCTTGCTATAAATCTGGATCAAGATACCTCTTTAGGTAGCTTTATTTTTAAGGGGGTACTTAATTATAACTGTTAATGTTTCGTAACTTTATTGAAAAAAATTAAGCCAACTTCTAAAGTAGATATACATGACTTAATATACATGAATCTGACCCAGATCTTCGTAGGTATAAAATATACGATGTTTATTACCCTGATTACGCTGAAATAAAGGATATAGTTTTAAGTTTTTATGTGCTGAAATTTATGTATGATTGTATTTGCTGCTGTTATTTAGCATTGCTGATGTATATATCAGTAATATGAACAAGATGTAAATTGGAGACATTGACTCTCACGTTAATACTATATAAAGCTGGCAAACAAACTATCATCTAAACTAGCTTAATTTATAGTCGATTCATAAGAACATTGTGATTATAAAACACAATATGGGTGAATTAAAAAAAATGACCAAACGCATATTTATCAACCCACACTAAAAATACAGGCAATGAAAATACATGTAGATTTCTATGTCTCAGCATATGTCTTTTGGTAGTGTCTAACTACCTGCCAAATATCTCGTTGATATCTCAATTAACAAAAAAGTTATGCCCAAAAATGATGCTAAAATTGTCAGAGTGCAACACCTTTTTGTGACATTTTGAAATTTCAATATTTTTTGGAGATCTGTGAAATAAATAATAATGCTTTATGTTGAAAATAAAGACTTTCCTGATAATATTCAAAGTATTGAGCATTAAATTTGGACTGTAGTAACTTTTGTTTAATCAAGTTGTGGTCATGCATGGCTGATGTTTAAAAAAATGTTATACCATGTCAGGAGTGCAACAGAAAAAATGTAGTGTTGCCAAAAAACATCAATTGTAAAATTCTGAAAGAAAATTAAGACAAAAAAGAATTTTTGAAGTGTAAAACAATAACTGATAAACATTTTAAAACTTAAAAATTTTATATAAATCACAAGCAGCATTAATGAGAGTCAAGTATATGTGCATACCCAATAATGTCAGGAGTGCAACATTTGATGTTTTGCTCCCAAGCATGAAAAAACTATTATCATTATATGATTTTCTGATTTTTATTTTGGAAAATAAAGACACAAAGAACATTTTTACCAAATAGATTTATCAATTACAGGATCTGGCTGTGCTTCAGATCTATATTTCTATGGTCAGGAGTGCAACACATTTTTTTAAAGATTCAAATTGTGTGTCGAAAACACTTCTATTCACGCTTAGAAGTATTCATTAATTAATAATGATCTTTTTGTATAATTTAATACTAAATTATTGACAGTTTTATTATTAAAATCCTTCCTTTTTCAATTTTATCAATTCAGATGTGTTTTTATCTTTTTTGTGATTTTTTAATGAACGTTAAAAATAAACACACTAAAAAATTGTCATAAAATTCAAGTAATTCCTCCTTAACTTCACTGAAACAACAGAACAAGTTCTTATGTAATTTTCACTTCACAATTCTACTTTGAAGGCCCCAATGCTTTTGGTTAGGAGTGCAACAAATATGTTAGAATTATAAATCATCCAGTAAGAATAAAAATAAAGAAAAAATGATGAATAGAATTTTTCTAGTGGGTTACTTGTTTGTCCTCTAAAGGAAAATATGCTATAAAATATATTTTATCTTCTAAATATACATTTAAGCTAGTTTTTTGGCATAAATAGGGAATAATTTCAGATAAAATGTGAATTTTAAATACTTTCATCTGTTTTAATACTGAAGTATTGGGTTATAAATATTGCACAATTTCATTACCACTGGATGTTGCCAACACTTTATGAATTTTTGTGTTATATGGTTTTAATTTTAAATTTTACTGCAGTCAGGAGTGCAACAAAACTGCTTTATAATTACCAATGCTTTTTAACTATCTTTACTAAAAGATAAGTTGAAAAAAAATGTTTGATACTATTTGATGTTCAAAGCACTATGTCTATCAACAAATTTCAGAAATTTTACAGTCAATTCAGGGAGAAGTTTTCATCATTTCACATATAGTTTTAAATACAATTTATATATATTACAGTTTGCAAATAATCATGTTTTAAGGTCTTCAAAATATGAAAAACCTGCCGTAAAAGATGGAAAATATCAAAACGACAAATTGATTTACAAAGTAAGAATGGGTTATTGTGTGTTAGAATTTTTAAAACAATGTTAAATAAAATACATATCAGATGTCAGGAGTGCAACACAATAATGTAACATAGGGTCACTTCAAAATCTAGTATTTTTTGTAAGAGAACTTGTATATAAAAATTCTTGTTTGGCTTAGATTTAAAGAATTGACTTGAAGGGACAAAAAAGTGACTTTTGAAGAATTTTACTGCTTCATATTTTTTTCATATTAAAACTTTTCAAACCAGAATTGAAAAAAATAATGTAAAATAACAATCAAAAAGCCAATTTTTGTCACATATACAAGAGAAGATACCCAATCAAGGTCTAGATTTAGTCATCTATACCCCTTTTACCATTTTGAAGCATTAAAAGCTATAATTTCTTGTGATTATGTATTTTAGAAAGTCTTTTAAGGTGTAATGATATTTTCTTTTTTCAAAAGAAATTTTACTAATAAAAAATCTGAAACTTTTTTATCCAATTGTCTATTATATTGCCACTTCAGGATTTTAAACTAGAATGCATGTGCAATATGATGATATAAGTGAAAAATATGTTATAAGTAGTTGAAATTTTCCAAAAAAATTCAGTTTGGTGGTCATTTTTTTTTAATTCACCCATATATGAAATTTTAAAGCATTCAAATCTCCATTACAACTTTTAAAATAAGACATTTGCAACAATATATATTTGTTGGTTTAGAAATAAGGTGCCTTATCAGAAGAATTTAAGCGATATTTTATACCATTTTTTGATAGGCAGTGTACTGTTTTTTCACCCAAATTCCAGTTTTTTTAAGGCTCCTTACAGGTTTGTGGTCTTTGACTTATCACATGTATGGCTTCAATTTTGAAACATATAAATATGGTCTCTAATAACCACTGCAATAATTTGATATAATATTAACTGCAAAGAAGTAAATGATACACCATCGGTTGGTGTCCCAGTTAAAGTTTTAGGAGCAAGTCCATTCCCAAGCAACATTAAGCCCTACCTGGACCAAACTTGCATGGATGATGCATCTATAGGAATGGACACTACTAGACTTGCTTCAGATGCTGGATCCGACATACAATTTCCAGATTTTATGATAACATAAGCTTTCAAAATATGTTTTAATGGAATTTATAGCTAACTTTTATTATGCTGCCCTTGGTATTACAATATATTACCATGATAAAATGAGCATGATACATGTAATAACGAGACGCCACTGTATAAACTTTTTTCTTCAGCTAAGACTTTTTTCACCAACTATCCATTGTTTTCTTGGTAACTTTTTCTATCCCTTGTATATCACACTTGTTAATTTGGATGATGCAAGCTTTAGTGTGCTTAAAGTAAATGTACCTAGTGCATAGTCTATCTGTTGAAAGAAATCAGTTTATTATATTTAAATCTTACTCCCAACCTGGAAATCCTCCTAGGTTCTTTTAAATTTTTGTTGCTATTACTAGAATTGTCCTGGTTATTAAAACGCTTTTAACTTAATATTGTACGTGTTTTGAAAAATTTCAAACAAATCATCAGTTAGGTCATATTTGTATTATTCAATCCATCCTATGCAGGACTTTTGTAATAAGATTGCTAATGAGTAAATGTACACCCAGTTTTAATTTTTAATGCATATTTTGTAAAATTCAATGCATATTTCTGCAAATATGCAACATATCTGGAGCTATGCCTACATTTTTCAAATGAGAGACCAGTTAAAGTTTTGAGTAGCTCTGTTCCCAAGTAACTATAAGGCCTGTTATGATTTAACTTGCATGGTATTGCATAGGGATTCACACTACCAGACTTGCTTCGGATGTTAGATCCTATCTACATCTTCAAGAAAAGTGAACAGGTAAAGTTTTTGAAGCAGGTCCTTTCCCAAGTAACTGCAAGTCCTATACTAGACCAAACTTGCTGCATGGATATTGATCTAGGGATGCACACTAACTCGAAAAAATTTTGTGTGAAATTTGATTCACTTATTGATAACATTTGTCGAGATGAGCTTCTTAAACTTTGATTACTTATGTTTTACTTTTATAAAGGAAGTCAAAAGTTTTCTTCCAGATTTTAGTTTACTATCTCTCCCTTTTTATTGGTGGGGATGTTGACAAAAATTTTTTGCAACTAAAGTAATCACAGAGATGTGTTCAGTTCTTCAACTGTTGGTAAAAAGTGTCTTACTCTCACTATTGCTTTGCATACATGATTTGCTCATAATTTTTGGAAAGTTGAATTTTGTTTTGATCATTCTTGGGTGGTGTTACTATCAGTGAAACTGGAGGTATTGTCAGAAACAAGACAAACTTATGACTGGGTATTTAAAAGTAATTTTTATTTGTTCTTTAGAGTGCAAGTCTTCATCTACCTGTAGATATCAGTTCTTTTTAAAGTTGAGTGACCCACAGCTATTAATAGACTGGCCTTTATATGAAGAATTTATTTTATTATTTTGTGATTTTCATTCCCAAGACTATAGCGTCAAGAAAAGTTCCAAATGCAGGGCTCTAATTGGCAACTAATTTAGTCGCCATGGCGCCTAAAATGTTTGATTGGCGCCTAAAATTTTTCCATAAGTCGCCGAATTGGCGACTGGTTTAAATTGACTTGGCAATTGTCGAATTCCAGAAATTTTCACATTTTTAACAATTTTTTTCTGAAAAAGGGAAAGGAAATTTAAGAGAAGGGAAATTATTTTTAGCAATGGATATGGACATGTCTTGTTTTCTTAGGCACATCATGGGTCCCTATATTCTGTTAACTTTTAAAGTTGGCACCTTAGAAAAATTGCCTGGCAACTAAACATTTGCATTGGCGACTAAATTTTTTTGATAAGGCGCCAGCTGGTGCCTAAATTTTAAAGGCCACTTAGAGGCCTAAAATGGAGCAATTGTCATTGACTACAGCTTTGCTGATTGGTTGAACAAACAATATACTTTAACAACACCTCAGTAAAACATCCTTTTGATAGCATGATAGGCCAGGGCTTTGTGAGTAGAGTAGGGAATCAGAAATACTTGGCTAGTGCAGATGTGTTAGATATAGGCTCATTTTGTTGTACATTGTATATAAGAACAAGGCAGTTGAATTGACCAAGTTAGAGCAAAAGAATATAATATTTTTATTTTCCATCGTCAGCTTTCCTTATTTATGTAGTAAATTCCGCTATCACCTGCATATGGTGTTTATGTCTCCCAATTTGTTCGATACTCAAGAGCATGCTCCAAGTTCGATCAATTTTTAAACCAAGGCAGGCTTTACTGACAGATAAGTTGAGTTACAGGAATTTTAACAACCTCGTTTAAAGTCAGCATTTTGTAAATTCTATGTTGTTATAATGACCTTGTTAGCATATATAACCTATCACTGGGTCATGTTTTGGCTGATGTGTTTCATTCAAATTGTTAGGCCTTTGTTTATACACTAAATTTCAATAAGGAATGTTCCATCTACCTGATCAATACATAAGGCTCACGGCAGGTGTGATCAGTCAATAGGGGATGCTCACTCCTCCTAGGCACCTGATCCCACCTCTGGAATTTCCAGGAGTGCATGTTTAATGCCCTGTTCACAAATTTGTATTGCTTGTAGATTTTTGTGAGATCGATCACTGTTCGTTATCTTCACCTTGTCATTGTAGATCATCACTGTCTTTAGTGGAGAATTTACTGGAAGTGGTGCTGATGCTGTAAGATCTACTTGTTTACAAACACTATATATAATAGTGAACCTCAACCCGTCTTCTTTCCTGCATAATAATACGGTACTTTGTGATGGAGGTTCCCAATCAAGTTTATCAGTTAAAAGCATCAAAGGGGTTGACGATGGAAACAAGTGCTCTGACAACATGGTACTTATTAAACCTGAGTTAGGAAACAGTGAACAATGTGGTAAGTTACAATTAATTTGTGTTTTGATTTATTGATCATCTGAATTTTTTTGGGTTATGCGCCATTTTGTAAGTTAGGGATATAGGCTGAAAATAGTTATATTTTGAAAATAATTGGACTTGCTGAGGAATGTATGTAACACCAAAGTCTGACAATTTTTTTCTTTAGGTCACCTGGGACACACACTTTAAAATGTGTAACTTAATGCATCATAAATTTTAATGACAGGTTATGTTGCTAAAACAAATTAATTGTATATGATGAAGTTTTAGTGTAAACATATTTTATTGAATATATCAATTAAGATTGGGAAACAGGCAAAGCCTATAGTTTAATACATGTACATACCCTCTCCTTGAAGTTTTTTTCTGAAATATGTCAAAACAGTCTTTTATTATTCATGAGCAATTTTAAGAGAAAATTATATGAAGAAAAAAAAAACTGAAAAAAAGCTAGTGTCAATAATGCACTCTCCATTTTAAGATTTTGTTTTAAGGTCATTTAAAAGCAAAAATCTGTATTTTAAATAGTAGGGATTAAAAGAAGGAGGTGTAAGGAGAAACTAGAGTGGAGTATAGGCACTATATTCTGATAATTTGGCTGTGTATTACAATTTTTTTTAGCTCATCAGAAGTGTCTTCACTAGCCAAGGGTTTTAAATCCACTTCTGTCCTCACAAACCTTTGGCCTACAGTGCTACCAAAAATTGGGATTGCTTACGTGATGTCAAATCTTACCACATATGCACAGCCTTTGTTATGGACAGACATAAAGAGCATTTTTAAAAATTGTAGTATTTAAAGAATAATTAACAAGCAGGAATTTGTTATTTAGGGTGCAAATCTATACCTGCAACATCAACTTTAAGTTAGATGACATCATAGCTTTTCATAGAATGGCATGTTATCTTACAGGTCGTTGTTTACTTGAGTTTTTTCATTTACACAGACTATGGAGTCCAAACATGTCCCATACAAATATATTGACATTCACATTAGCACTTGCTGATTAGTCAATCAGTATCAATAAACTCTAATCACAACTCAAGATAAAAAATCCCACCAAGTGTTTGTGAGGAGAGTAGTGGATCAAAAATCCTTGGCTAGCAAAGATGCAGAATCATAGGTTCAAGTGAGTTTTTCTGATTACATGTTGTCCATCATCTGTCTGTCCATCTATTAACTTTTCACATTTTCAACCAACCTTACCACAAAGCATTCTTAGATGAAGGGGATTCTAGTTCAAATGAAGGCCCATGCCCTCTTTAAATCAAGAAAAGGCATTAATTGGGTGGATGTCATAAAAATTCTTCTTTACATGAACCACTGGGCAAGAAAAAATGAAACATGAAAGCTTTCTGAAATTCTTCTTAACAGCAGTGTCATGATTAGTCATATTCATATTCAAACATCCTGGCTCCTTGGGAGGGGTTATAATAGGAGATTAAAGTTTAACATGGAAATATATTGGAGAAATTTATTCCCAAGCTTTACATGAGAATATAATTATAGGAAAAAATATTTTTTAAAAATTCTTCTTTAGAAGGCAGTGCCAAGATTAGTCATATTAATATACAGGCATTCTGAGGTTGTGCAGATTCATCTTTGTACAAATCTTAATTGGGGGGGGGGGGGGGGGGGTAGAGTGTGACTATAATAAGAGCTCAATTCAGGCGCATATCTAGGCGTATGCAAGTGCTTCAACATCATTTTCACAACAACAAAATATTATAAAAGAAAAATTAAATCCCATCATAAATTGAGCAATATTTTTCCTTCTTTATCGTTAATTTCATGATGAGGAAATAGGCATTTTATATGTTGAAACTCAGATTATTTTAACGTAACTCTCTTTTCTGGATACTCAAAATTAAGTGTCAGAAATGCTGAAAACTCTCAAACCCCATGCCTTGATTTGCTTCCAGATTAAACACCCCCTAGCTACGCCCCTGTCAATTTATAAGAAAAAATCGCAATAACAAGCAGACAATGATAAATTATATTAATATGTAAGCATCTTCATCAAGTACAGATTTAAATTTCTTCAAATCATGGCCCTTGTGAGTAGGGTAAGGCCACAAAAGGGGAACCAAAGTTATACATGGGGAGTTTTAAGAAAAAATTTTTTTGAAATGTTCTGATTAACAACAAGACTGTTATTAGCCATATTGATATATAAGCATCCTCAAGTATTGCAGAGCGTCACGGTAGCTCAGTCGGTAAAGAGCTTGCTCTGTGATCAGAAGGTCGTGAGTTCAAATCTCGGCTGCGACTGACCTAAGTCGATAAAAAATAGATAGCAACTGTTCCTTTACCAAGCGCTCGGCACTTTGAAGTGAAAGTTACGGGTTCTTCGTATGAGACCTTAAAAACCGAGGCCCTGTGCCACGGCAGGCGTTTGCAGGATAAAGATCCCTCACTGTCAATGGCCCTGAGTGCTGAGTAAAGGTCTGAATTTGAAGTCCTTCATTGGTATATGGTGACGTCATTATATGAGTGAAAAATTCTCGAACAGGACGTAAAACAACATACAATCAATCAATTAAGTATTGCAGATTCAAATTTGTTCAAATCATGGCCCCAAGGGTAGACAGAGCCACAACTGGGGATCAAAATTGCAGCAAAAGGACAACCCCAATACCCCAAAACTAGTAAAAATTCAGTTGGGTTATAAAAATGTAGGTTGACACTAGCCTGATTGGACTAATAAATTATTAATTATTTTTTATTCCATTATTCCTAAAAATGTCAATAAACTTTTCTTGTCTGAAAAAAATCATCTTCATTAAATAATTAGGTTTTCTTGATGATTTTCATATCCTAGTTGATATCTTACGGTCCATGCTTCATTTGGTTAATTGTCATGTTTAAATGATCCCAGAGAGTAGAGTGGGACTTCAGTAGGGGATCAAAAATTTTACATGGTATTATGCAGGAGGAAATCTTAAAAAATAACTGTATCTGAGGAACAGCAAAATCTGATGAAGTGATTCAGGTGAGCACTGATGTCCATGGGTCACTTGTTAGCTCACTTGAGCTGAAAGCTTTTCTGATCACCTGTTGTCCATCCTTCCTTCTGTCTGTCTGTCCGTCTGTCTGTAAACTTTTCACGTTTTTGACTTATTCTCATGAACAACTGGGCCAATTTTGGCATAATGCGTTTTTGGGTAAAGGGGATACTAAATTGTTCAAATGAAGGGCCATGATCCTTTCCAAGGGGAGATAATCAGGAAAAGATAAAAATAGGGTGGGTCATTAAAGATCTTCTCAAGAACCACTGGACCAGGAAAGCTTAAACGTTGTGGAGCTTCCTGAGGTCTTGTAGATTCTAAATTGTTCAAATCATGGTCCCTGGGGGTAGGATGGGGCCCAGTATGGAATCAGAGTTTTACATAGGGTTATTTAGGGAAAAATCTTTAATACTTGTCTTCTCAAGAACAGCAAAGCCATGATGAATCATATTAATGTGGAAGCATCCTCTGGTAGACAGTGTAGATTCATTTTTTTTCAAATCGGGGCCCTCTGTATTGGGTGGGGCCCCAAAAGGTGATCAAAGTTTTACATAGGAATATACACATGTTTATATATTGGGAAAAAATCTGATGCAGAACAGCAGGGACAAATTGACTCAGGTGAGCGTTATGGCCCATGGGACTCTTGTTTTTCTTTTTAGTGATGTGCCCACCAGGAAGATATTTTAATGGCACTAGCTGTATGATGTGTGCAGATGGCCAGTATCAGGATTCAGTTGGCCAGACATCTTGTAAAAATTGTCAAGCTAATACTGTATCAAGGGATGATAGAACTACATGCACAGGTAAGAGACAAAGTGGAGCTTGAACCTCTGATTGGGATACCTCTTCCTAAAGAATGTTATAAGTGATATGGTCTTGAGTTTGCATTATATTACAGTCAGACCTTGTTATAGAGCTGCCAACCCTTACGAATTTGGCATAAGGATTGCAGTACTTTGAGTGTCTGAAATACACCTTACAATTTATCTTTTTATTGTTATGATTTCCGATTCTCTCTGTCAAGAGTTTGAAATACCAGTATTTTCATTATCTGTCTGCCTTTAGTTTTCAGTATTAAAGTAGAAAAAAGTCATGTTACTTGCAGCGCTTATTTGTATTGTCATTTCCCATTTCTGTGCTCACTTATGATATCAAACATTTTAACATGAAGAAAGTGGAAAAATACCCATCGACCAGGGATCTAAATGGTCCTAGAGTCAGGGGATCTGAAGTTAGGGCAGGGTTCTAATGATCATATAGTGAAAGTGCATAAATTCTTTTTAAGTCTTCTTGTCTCCCCCTTATTTCAATCATTTTATCACTAACCATCAAACTAATTGCAACAGAATATTTTTGTTATGAATAAAATATAGAATGTACAAAATAAATTAGTAATAAAAATCTAACAAAATTGGATGAGTGGAAAGCATTATTTTGGGCTACATAAATTTCAGTGAAAATTACTACAGAAAAGGGGTATAACTCTTGTCAAAATAGTAAATGATCAGAATTTTGGTCCATTTTTCTACCTTGAAGAAAGAGGAAGTAAATTAAACTGCCATTAAACTGACTTTGATAACATTTAAAGATGCAGTTAAAACTTTTGAACCCAGCAAAAAAAAAATACTGATTACTAAATACCACTGATGTCTGTGTCAGCATCTCAAGTTAAACTTTTTGGAGCAAAGGTTCAGTGCACTTAAGCTATGAGAGTCGGGTTCCGATGCTTTGAGAAAAATAAATTTCCGAAGTTTCTTAATTTTTTTGTATCAGAGTTATTAAACGATGTCTTAAGAGCAGGGTTTGATATATGATATCACGTGAAAATATTAAATAATGCCAAGCGACACTGGCTTTTGCGATGGGGGTCTAGCGATTTTGTCACATTTCTATTGAAAATCATATGCATACCAGTTTTCAATGACATTGTTTACATCGAGCTGCAACTTGTCCATTCGTCTCATTTGCACAGAATTTGTATTTTGACTTAAACTTATACATATCCAAAGGACAATGTTGGACAATTTGCGGCTCATATCTAATTTTTTGAAAAAGTCTTCAAACTACGGTCGAGTTAGCTACTAAATTAACAGGTCCTCAAGTGTCAACCCATATTGACCCGATTGATATTATGATCACTTTACTTGCGTGACATTCCACTGTTCGATACGCTTTCATTGTGTCTGTCATTGGAAGTTCCTTGTGTCTATCGACTTCCAACTTCAAAATATTGAAGACTTTTGCATAAATTTTATTAAGGTTTTTAAAGATTATATATTCTTCTTTTTCTATACTATTTTTTCGTTCGAGGTATTTTGAATGAAATTCTGGTATTGTCAGTGCAAATCAGGTGCACGATTAGTAGGTATAGCTGTGCTCATTTGTATGATGGTCTGCTGGCATCTGCAGACACAACCCAGCCCTAAACACTAGAATCATTTATTATTTGTGCACCACGAAACTACACAATCTCTCTCTTCTCCATTTAAATTTGTAGTGTGGAATCTGAATACGGAAAAATCATGTGCTAATGTTTACATTCCACTTCCGTGTGATTTAAATGTATCTGCCTATTTGCGGATACCTTAAATTCGAAAATGATCCAGTTCAAATTTCTGGAATTTAAGGCTTATACATGTTCTTTTCAATGACTTTGTCTGTAATTATAGAAATATGTATGACAAAAAATTCAAGGCATAAATATCAAAAGCATATGCATGCACAATAATCATAGATTAACTTAGTGATTTATTGTAATTTAAATCTTAAAATTGATAGCCGAAAAGGTTCCAAATGACATACTAAAGTGCACTCATTCTTTCTTTCCAAGTACTTCTTTGCCCGATCTTGATCAGAGATGCATGGATGAGGCATCTCAGTATAGTTAATTGCACCAGTCAGCTATCAGATGCTGCCAAAGAAACCCAACTTAGACCAAACTTGCATGGATGATGTATTAGGGATGCACATTATCAGAGTTGGTTGAATGCTGGATTTGATCTACATTTTCCAGATGAGTGACCAGGTTAAAGTTTCTAGAGCAGGTCCATTCCAGTGTATATTTAAGCCCTACATAGATTAAACTACATGGATGATGTATCAGGGAATGATAACTACCAGACTTGCTTCAGATGCTGTATCTGATATCCGGATAAGTGACCAGATCAAGTCCACTCCTGAGTAATTTTAAGCCTTTTGGTGACTAAACTTTCATTGATGATGCATCTGTGTATGTTCACTTGCAGACTAATGCTTTGGATGCTGTATCTGAACTGTATTTTCCATGAGATTGAACATTTTAGTTTTTAGAGCAAGTCCATTTCCAAGTAAATATAAGCCTCAATGTGACAAAACTTGAATGGATGATGCATATAGGATGCACACTACTAGACTTACTTACATTTTCCAGATCCTTGAACAGGTTATAGTTTTTGGAGCAAGTCCATTTCAGTTATACTTGGTTTACAAGTAGATTATATCATGATACATAGTTCTGTTTATTGCTTTTTGATTTCAACAAATGGTGTTGCCATGGTTACTAAAAATTGAAATTTCTTTGAAATTCTTTCAAAATGCTACACCTCCAGTTTTGGTCCAATTTCAAATATTTACATTTGCAAATGTAAGATGAACCTATTGTAGAGCAAATATGTTCAATTATGTGTGATCTTATTAGGGGGTCAGAGGTCATAGAGTGACCAAATCACATGGCTGCCAATGAAACTTCTAACTTGATAGCAATAATGGAGAAAAATAACGGAAACATGTCAATATTTTTTTCAATCAACAAATGCCCATTACATTTTCCTTTTACTCCTGGGTATTAAGCCAATGAACTATGTATATTGTTATGATAAGGAAGAGTGCCTCTTCCAAAATTGTGAATTTCATGGCCCCAGGGTAAGGGGTTCTGGTGTTAGGGCGGGGCTCTAATGGTTATAGTGAAAATGCATCAATTCTTTGAAAATCTTCTCCTCTGCTCCTAGGTATTAAGCCGATGAATTAAGTACATAGTTATGATGAGAAAGAGTGCCTCTTCCAAAATTGTGAATTTCATGGCCCCTGGGTCAGGGGTTCTGGTGCTTTGGTGGGGCTGTATTGATTGATTAGAAAAAAATCATTAATGCTTTGAAAATCTTCTCTTCTGACTCAGATTACTTAGCAAACAAACTAAATTCAATAATATCAATGTAAATGTATTAAATATTATTGTAAGTAAATGTGCCTTATCTTTGCTCCTGGGTATCTAGGAGGCAAACAGAGTACACAGTTGTAATAAGTGAAGCAAATGAGAGTTACTCCCCTTTGCTAGAATGTGTTAATCAAGAAATCCTGGTATATAATTTAACAGGTTATTAGACTGAATGAGAATACAAGAAAGAATGTAATATATATGGAAACTAAATCAAATGGATGTTTGGTTTAAATGAGCAAAGCAAGCTCAAAGTCATATTTTTGCCTGGAAAGCAATATAAAACATAGACATTTAAAGATATTATTTATATATTTAGCGAAAGTTGAAATTGCACATAGCATGTTTACACTGTGGTGATCTGTTTGACAGTGGATGAGTTATTACCCCCTTGTGCAACTAGTTGCGGAGGGGATATAGCATCGCTACTGTGCGTATGTGTGTGTGTTAGTGTGTCTGTTACAGCTTGTGGGCAAGATTTAAAGAGAACCTTTGCACTTTCATTTCTCAGTCTTCCCATACTTATGTGGCATTGTAAAAGGACGAACCCTATTCATTTTCAAGTTAATCAGTGAAATAGTTCTTAAAATATCGTGTTTTTACTACCTTCAAACCCTGCAATTTTATGTACGAGTTGACAATACTCACTTCCAGTAAATTTAACAGGTTAAAATTCGGGTCGTTTCGATAGAGCGGCTTCAGTAAGTTCTACTTTGTATTTGCATATTGTCATATTATTGTGTGTATCTTGAGAAAGTTTGTATGAATTAAAAGTGTCATCTCTGTCACTGAGTAACTTAAATAATTAGATGAACATCGCGGTTTCAATACCAAATCACCACAAGTGTGTGTTTACAATAGGGGCCTGTGGAATCGAGGTATCACACCGGTGATTGTTTTCACTATATAATTCTATATAGAATAAAAAATCATTAAAAATCAGGTATTCAAATTCATGAAAAAAAATTTAGCAGGAAGTGTTAAACGTTACCAGTCACATCACCTGACACCAAAAAATAGGGAACGTACATGGCATTTTGTGATTTTTTCCATCTGCAAACAGGAATACCCTCAAAACTACGTGTATTCAATGTTTTTATAAACATCCTGTGTGCATCCCAGGAAGTGGCCTCCTATGCCCCGAAAGAAATAGTTCCTGTCAAAAACCTTTAATATTTTACAAAGTACATAAAATATCCTAAGCATAGGTACCAAAAATGTAAAAATAGAATAAGGGAAAAAATAAAATTTCTCCCAATAAAAAAAATATTTCTTTATTATGTATGGAACTACAATTGACTAGGTTCATTTTGATTGGTCAATTACCGGTGTGATACCTTTTAATCTTGAGGAACACATAATTCTTGAAAGCTGTAAATATAAAGTTTCACAACTTTCATTGACATCTCAACATCGGTATATTGTCATTTTTCACTACAGAAAAATATTATTTCCGTGCGTATTTCCAGATTTGATGCATATTGCATGCTATACTGTGAGGTTTACTCAGGTAGATAAATTAATGAAAAGAGCATACATGATATGTTTCTGCTAGGAATAAGGGAAACTGCCCAATCACGTATGCTTGTTATAACCCAATCTGGGAAAACC